CATGCTAATTCAAAGACATCTGTCAAAAGCGCAACGGCTTTCGGTAGATCTGGAGAGATTGTTCATTGTTACTTTTTGATATGCAACCACTCTTGTGAACTGAATCTTAATTCAACTTTTTTATTATCTCTTAATCTTAGCGTAGTTACCTTAGTATTTTATTTAGTCTTAAATAAAAGCCTACTCAAATTGTAGAAATCTTAACCCGAACCGTCTTTAACTAGTCTTAGTTTAAGTTCAAACAGAATTAACCCCTATCCTAATTTTTTAACATATTTCAATAACTCCGTACTTTCAAGAAGGTTAATTTCCTTTCAATAAACTTATTGAAATTGTAAAGAACGGTATGTTTGTTGTCCGTACTTCAATGCTCATAATTCGTTTGTTGCTTTTGGATGGAGTTCACTTTGACGAAAGTTGGCAAAACCGCATAAGTTTCTAACCAATTCAGCATATATAACATCTAAATTAAGAACGTGCAAAACAAGTAAACAGAAGCTAAAAATCTTGGCTACGTATTAATGTCGCCCAATTTCCAAGTGAAGCAAACAATGTTTTCTGGTGAATACAACTGTTGAAGTAAGCTATGCTGGGAAACGTTGTTGATTATTTTAATTCAGGTAAGTAACATGGCTAATAAAAAACTTTGTAGTATATGGCAATTAAATAAAAGGGCTTGTTGACAGTGCAAAACAAGATATGATGTCAATGGAAATTAATCATTGGTGAAGACCTTAGACAGTTTAATTACTAGCTCTACTTTTTTACCATGAGGAGTCTGGAGGGTCACCAATTTGGTTGAGTGAACCACGAGAACCTTAGCCAGGGACCAAAGACCTCGTGATTTTGTCACCGAGTGCCAAGCTCTCAGAAACCAGGTTCCACTTGCTTCCAGTTTGATTTTCTGGAAGGCAATCACGGTTGCTTAATTGTTACGCGAGAAATTGCGCGTTTTTCATGACAAGGAAAAAGTGACTGATTTGTATGGAAACATTCCAGGGCGCACATTAGTTGATGACCTGCCTCAAAGGAAAAGATTCGGAGTGAGACGCAATGCGTCATTGAAGTCCGCATGAATGTTTGTTAATGGACGTGAGTTCTTACTGGATTAGATTTCACAAAAAAAGTGTTTCAGCGTGTAATCATGCAGTGGTTGCGAATCAAAAACACAGCGACAACTTGAAGATTTAAATTACTCGTACTCTTTCCCAGCTGCCACCAGAGCTTCGCGCGGCTGGCTGTTTGAAAAACCATTCCGTATCTTATTCCATGAGCGATAGTATGTCTTTGAAATCAGTATTTTCAGATAATTTTTTTCAGTGAGCTCTTAAGAACTTTATTCGCAATGACTAAAAAGACGCATTTTCCCATATGAATTCTGTATGACTTTGAAGACAATAGAAATAAATATATAAAATTATATTGAGAATTTTAGGAAAAGTTCTATAGAGTACAACCCATTAATGTAACATCGATAATAATTTTTTTTGAGTAACTGATTTTTTGAGAGAACTGCCATAAGCGAAGCGGAAATTTTTTTCGGCATTCGACCAGCTTTTTCATACACTCTGCGTTATATAGAAACAACAGCAAAGAGTAAAAGTTTTCCATGCAAGTGTTCTGTGCTTGTTTGTTTCCAGTTTGACGACGTACTTGGATTTATCTAGAATGAAGCTAGATTTTGAGCTTAACAAGAGTGGTGCATTGAACAATCAACCACGAGCGCAAATATGTTCGTTGTGGTCGATATAAGGGCGTGAAGTTTACCGTTTTCTAAGTAAATGTACGAAAACTTTCGCCAATTGAGCCAACTGTAGATCAAAACTGCGCTTACTAAACTTGTCGACGACCAAATGGAAAAAGCAACAGAGCGAATGAGTCTGTTCAATTTGCTAAACTTGAGCAGTTTGTGCCTGTACCAGCTTTGAACAGTAGGATTACTAGTAAGCATCATCCGCACTGAGGTTTGATTTAGCTGAATTAGACCTGGTTACGGCCGTTGATTTTAATTCTTTCAAAAAAAGGTGGTCACTGCAACCAAGGATATTGAGCGCTTGTTTCTTTAACCGCACAACCCCGAGGGCCGTCATTGGTAGGATTTTATATTATAGGAACGTATTTTTGTTTTAAGGGTTGCAGAAGTCTAAAGTCTTTGCGACTCGGTTTGTAAGGAAGATTTTGTGTCAATTTGAGGCGTTTTCATCCCATACAGAACAGTAGTGCTGTCTGACTTCATCTCTGTTGATTGCATACTTTGTAATCTGATTTTTCCACATTTAATTGAGCCATTGTAGTTCCGTAGACAGCATCTTGCTTCTCCAAGTTAGTTATCGTCAAACGGTTTTGTGGAGCGATTCTCGCTGTATCTATAAATTTTTTTACCGAAACGTTGTGGACTTGTATGTATCTTAAGACACGCTACTGCCGAAAGCTCCAATTGTGATTTGAGGCGTCGATGAAGTCGCGGAGATCTTCAGATCTTTTTTTTCGGCTCCGTCATTGAGCTTTTAACGCACGTGAAAGGATTCAAAAGATTTCATGCGAAGGTTGATCAAAGAAATTCCATTTTGTGAGGTTAAACCTTCCGGAGAAGACAAACTTTTGAGTTTCCGACTTGATCGGATTTTTTTTGGCGATGATGTAGAGATGAACAAATCTTCCATAATAAAATTTCTGCCAACAAGTTTGGCTACGAGCGGATATTCATCTTCAATGTGAGAAGCACGCAACACAAGTTGGGTCTGTAGCTCTGAAGATGTGACACGCATTGTCGTGGGTCCCGAGTTTTCTTTTAGTGTACCACAGGTAACGCAGGAAACGTCTTTCTCTACGATCGACTTTAACGAAGCATGAACATAGCTTCTGTCTGCAGACAGGGCGAAAGTTTTCACTGAAGCGGGGCTTAACGCAAGATAAATTGTTCAAAAAATCAGGCTTGGTATCAGATTTAATATCAAGGACTGGCCAAGAAAAATAGTAGAAACAGTTTTAGTTTTAATTTTCCTTCGCGATATCATTCTTTTGCTGCCTGTTGATTCAAGTTTTTAACTATTTTTCGGCATGTGAACAATTATTTGTGGGGAAGCATGCTTTTCGTAGCAAGACAATTGATAGTGTCCTTCAACAAAATTCCTGATGTTTTTCAATATAGTCAGCTCTTTTGTCATTGTTGGACATAGATTTCTTAGTTGAACCGTAAATTATATCCAAAGAATTACTATTAGTTGCTGCCTAAAACCTGTGTTAAAACATGACCTTTCAATTATTCGATACTTTTAATGAAAATAATTTCTTAGCCCTAAACAACCTGAAATTGTGAAGGTATGATTGACCTCAGTATTCCAGTGCTCACCTTTTGTTTTTTTTTTCGGAAGTCCGCAAAAGAGCGTAGTTTTCTATTTAAATAGACATTTATCACCAAGCGCACGAACGTAAAAATCAGGTAAATTGAAGGAGAACTTTTTGCTATGCCACCAGATCTAAAAAAATTATGTAGGCAGCTTGTAGATATTTCTGGGGTTGGTTTTCGTTGTGTTAATCCCCTAGATTTCTTTTTAAGAAAACGGCTGAAATAGACAAAATTTAGTGTAACAATAGCTGGTTGAAAAAAAATGTTACATTTATTGAAAATTTTCCTGTTTCGGTAGCCAGGCAACTGTTTTAATATTTTTATTTGTTTGTTTTTTTTTTCAGCCTCATTTTTTGTTACTACAGTGACCATAATAATTTCACATAGACTGTATTTGCTGCGACAAATTTGGTTTGTGCAAGTAACTATTCCAAACTTTTTGGAAAATCAATTGCGTGCACACCTACGTTTTGAAGTCACTGGTTTCAACTGTTAGTTTGAGTCTACTTAGTTTTAGTTTCAGTCAACTAAATAGGTTGGCAACGTTCGGGAACCTAACCTGGAGTTGTATTTTTTCGTCTCTACTGTAATTTAGTTTTTCTGAAGATTATCTACGGTAACCGATAACATAACCAGCTTTTGAGGTTTTATGATGGCATGTATTTTTCGATGTTGACAGTGAAATTATTTCGTTTATATGTTACACTTTGTAGATATGGGGAGTTTGTGTACATGTGGTGTTGGTGAGCACAGATGACCCAAATACCGAGTTTGGAGCTTGAAATCTTTTTTCAATGCTGATTCAAAAAGTTTTTGGAAAATCACTTTTGAATTCAATATAAGTAGGGTAAAAGTTCATTTAAGGCAGATTTTTAAGATTCAACAGTGGTTTATATGGACATGACTTCACATTCAAATCAAGTACTTGTGCATAAATACAAACTTCGCAATAATAGCAATCGTTTCATTTTCAACAGAAATTTAATTTGGAAAATATGAAAAATTTCGTATCAACATAACAGAAAATAACATAGAAGCTTTTATGAATAGCTAGGAATAGTGAGGTTTAATTTACGTACAACAGAAATAGCACTGATTTGATGAAGTAGATCCGTTCTTTAATAAGGTACAAATTTAAGGCACTTGATACTGCAGCCTTTTCTGGGCTTTGAATAAGAAATTTTGATTGCAGACACAAACGAGACTGGTCGTATGAGAGCGAAGCCCTGAATGTTCCGACTGCCTTTTAAAGTTTATGGAGCAGTAATAATATTTAAAAAATTCAATGAAATAAAACAAAGAAAAGTTTTTTTTCTAAAATGTGAAATTTGTTTATGAAAATCATCACCCCACACGCCATTTAAGGTACAAATGGACAGAATTCGCTCCTTGTAACAAATCAATTATGGCTAATAAGCTTCTTGTAACCTATTTGGAACGATTTCTACGACGGATTAACTCTCAGCTTACGCGTTGATAGCGCGAAATATACCGGGCGTTAATTGTCCCGAAGTGCCCAAAATGGCAATCTGTAAACCCCCGTAACTTTACGAAAATGGTCACAGGCAAAATATTTTTTCAAATTCGAGCTCAAGACAACAATACCTTTCGAATGATATAAGAAAAATTCCGTCAAAAATGGCTAGTTAAGAAGTCGAAATTTGTCTGAAGAAAAAAACCCACCCCGAGCACAAATAGTCCGTTACTTTCGTATCGAAAGTCGGAACAATAATGTCAAACAGAAAACTATATGCAACGTAAATACATAAAGCAGCATTTAAATAGATTCAGTTCAAGATCAAGATTTCAAATACACTTCAAAAGGAGTGACTAAAAAGTTGTTCCGGATCTCAAGGCTGGCTACACGATGTCGTAGCAGGAGGGACATGGCAGTCCAATGTATTCCTTGGCACAGCCATAGCACAGCGTCTTGTGTCCGCACGGAATAAAGGTGGAGTTAATTCTCGCGTTGCACATTCCGATACTACACTTGCTAGCATGCGGAGATTTCCGCACTTGTGAGGTCAGCCTGGGAGGAGACAGCACCCACGTGTTGGCTCCAATAGCGTCATGCAGTCCAGAAGCAGAGCTAACTTCACTGCCGAATGACATGGAAACACCGAAGCTGCTCGCTACTGGATCGGCAATCCGAGAAACTGTTGGGTGCAAACCGGATGGACTCCCATTGCCGAACCCCCGACTAGTTCCACTGGACTCGCTGCTTGGGTCATTGCTTAGTGGGCTTAGTTTGGCTCCATCATCATTCAATCTGAAAGGCATGCTTGCCAAGTCAAAATCCGCTCCCAAGTTTTGTGACAACGGTTCTCCTCTTTCTGCCGGTGACTCATTCCTGTTGATTCTCTGCTGCAGCCAGGCTCCGCTGTCCAAATTGAAAGGTTTGTAGGTGTTAATGTTCAAGTCTTGCAATTGCATTGGGCTTTTCAGCAGATTCGAGATCGACTCAGTCGCAGCCCTGAACTCGGTGCTTCTGAGAGGATCTCGGTTTTCTCGCCTCGACCCCGCCGAGGTCCTAACTCCCGAAGAAGAAACGATCGCATTAGTTAAAGTTGTGATGGGTCTTCCAGTGAACGGCCGCACATTTGCTTGTGTAGTTCTTGCGATCATACTGTCTCCATAAAGTCCGCTCATTGCACTTGTCAAAGCGTCAGATACGCTTTCATCAACATCCTGTTTGGAAGAATTCCAGATTCCAGTCGGAATCTTGCCAGTCAAACTCACACTGTTTGAAACATCGTTGAAAGTCAGCGGTCTAACGGCCCTTTCCTCCAAGGACAAAATAACCGTGATGTGGCTCACAATTTCCTCTCGGGCCTTGGCAACATTTTCCGGCAGACCGCTTATTTCAAAGATAGGTTCGCTTTCCCTGATTGGAGTAATAATCAAGGTAGAAGTCTTGGTTTGGATTTGTTTGATTTTCTGTCCCCTCGGTCCCACGACTAAGCCAACGTGTCTGTAGGGTACTTGCACCTGGGAAGCAAAACTGAAATCACTAATACTTTCCTTTTACCCCGTAACTATTCTCAATTCTTGCTCGACAGTTGCAGCTGGATGAGAAGTTAATCACATTCCCTTACAGTTAAGATCACTTAAGAATTAATACCAATTAATTGAGGCCATTGCGCCAAATAACAAGATAATTGAACTAAACTGCTTCATGGTCATGTTGTTAAAAAGCCACTTAGCAAGTTCCGGTATTTACTTATGGGTCACGGGAAAGCAAATGTTTACATAGTGCATTCAACTTAGCTCCCATTCAATCCTTCTACGTTCTGCATCTGAGCGGGATAACTATTATACTGGGGCCTCAAAAAAAAACGTTTTAGTCATTATGCGAACACTTTACTTAATTGGCGTCTCGTTTTGAGCCAGAAAATCTACTTCAAGACAAAAGAACCACAAGACGAATATCCAATGTATCGCTATTTCAATTATCCCTTTTTTTTACAAAAGATAATTTCAAGAGCTATAAATTTAAAAATCATATTTAAATATATCATTAAAAATTTAGACAAGACCTTACATTAGCCTATGATTTGACTATGCATTACTGAGTTAAGTTTTATGCTTAGCTCATAGAGTAATTTCGGATAGGGTACACCGTCTGCTCGTCACGCTATCTTATTTTCGGCCAGATAGATTCGTGCAACTTCTTAGTCTAATACCGATCCTAATCTTACTCTTATATCTACTAGTCTCAGGGTGTTTAACTAGTCTCTGCTAGGCTCAATAGATCTAGAGTATAGTGGTTTTATTGCGGCAGCTGAAGTTCTCGGGGAGAGGTAACTAATTTCCAAGTTAAATTCAAATCTCTCTGGTGCTGAAATTACAAGTAATTACATCACTTACAAATAAGTGGTTTGTTAGTTAGATGGATCATGATTGGTTAATATTAAAAATTTTATATGATAAAATATCTAAAAAATAACCAATAATAAAAAGTAGTTAAGATCAGGTTCCACCCATCCGGGGTTTACAGAGTTTTTGAGTTTTTATTTTTCTTTCTGTAATTGAAGGATGGATGATGAACGTTGGTATTTGGCGAACATCATTTTTTTTCTCGTTCCTTTGAGAAGAGGGCTCCAGGAAGCTAGAGTCGTCGACAGAGTTCCTCCTGAAGAAGAACGTTCCATGATGTTGGATTCATGGATAGGAATTGTTAGTCTGTCATTCGACAACGACTATGATCCCCAATGAAATCAATCCGATTTCAAAATGGATTGCTATGTCAGGTTGTTCTGTTTTAGTAAAGAACTGTCTGTGTTCACTCTCGTCTGTGAATGGCGTGAAGATCATGTTTGGAGGAGATGCCTTGTAAATCGGATCTGTACGTAAGCTTGAACATCGAGGGGGTCATTGTTCTGATTCAATGAGGTCCTTTTCTGCGAAGTCAAGTCGTACTTTAAATCCATTTGAGTCGTGATTGTGGACGGTATGTCGGTTGTGTTTAGCCATTCTTTAGGTCGAGTGTGATGTGATCGTCTAGCCTTTGGATGTTCGTCTTTGTTGTTGTGTATGATCTATATACTGCATATTATGATTTACATTTTCTGATGTTCACACATCTACGAAAATCAATTGAAACTTCTTCATGATTATTACGAAAAAAGGTCACAGATGAAATATCTTTTCAAATTTGAGCTCAGCACAACAATACCTTTCGAATGATATAAAAATGTTTACATAGTGCATTCAATTTAGCTCCCATTCAATCCTTCTACTTTCTGCATCTCAGCGGGATAACTATTATACAGGGGCCTCAAAAAAATAAAAGTTTTAGTCATTATGCGAACCCTTTACTTAATTGGCGTCTCGTTTTGAGCCAGAAAATCTACTTCAAGACAAAATAACCACAAGACGAATATCCACTGTATCGCTATTTCAATTATCCCTTTTTTCTACAAAAGATAACTTCAAGAGTTATAAATTTAAAAATCATATTTAAATATATCATTAAAAATTTAGACAAGACCTTCTATTAGCCTATGATTTGACTATGCATTACTGAGTTAAGTTTTAGGCTTATCTCAGAGTAATTTCGGAGGATAGATTCGTGCAATTTCTTAGTCTAATACCGATCCTAATCTTACTCTTATACTATCTAGTCTCAGGTTGTTTAACTAGTCTCTGCTAGGCTCAATAGATCTAGGGTATACTGGTTTATTGCGGCTGCTGAAGTTCTCTTGGAGAGGTAACTAATTTCTAAGTTAAATTCAAATCTCTCTGGTGCTGAAGTTACAAGTAATTTCAGCACTTACAAATAAGTGGTTTGTTAGTTAGATGGATCATGATTGGTTAATATTAAATATTTTATTGTGATAAAATATCTAAATTATATCCAATAATAAAATGTAGTTTAGATCAGATTCCACCAATCCGGGGTTTTCAAAGTTTGAGTTTTTATCTTTCTTTCTGCAATTGAAGGATGGATGATGAACAATGGTATTTTACGAACATCATTTTCTCCTTCTCGTTCCTTGGAGAAGAGGGCTCCAGGAAGCTAGAGTCGTCGACACAGTTCCTTTTAAAGAAGAACGTTCCATGATGTTGGATTCATGAATATGAAGTTGTTAGCTTGTCATTCGACAACGACTGTGATCCCCAATTAAATCAATCCGATTTCAAAATGGTTTGCTATGACAGGTTGTTCTGTATTAGTAGAGAACTATCTGTGTTCATTCTCGTCTGGAAATGGCGTGAAGATCGTGTTTGGAGTGGATGCTATGTAACTCGGATCTGTACTGTGTTTGAACATGGAGGTGGTCGTTGTTCTGATTCAATGAAGTCCTTTTCTGCGAAGCCAAGTCGTACTCTAAATCCATTTGAGTCGTGATTGTGGACGGCATGTCGGTTGTGTTGAGCCATTCTTTAGGTCGAGTGTGATGGGATCGTCAAGCGTTTGGAAATTCGTCTTTGTTGTTGTGTATGACCTATATATTGCATAATATGCTTTATATTTTATGAAATTTGGTGAATTTGGTTTTTTAGTTATGATCTTAGTTAGTTGTTTTCGCAAAAGCGTTTTTGTTTTATTTCAGTTATTCTGAAGAGTTACTAACCCTTGAGTACCTCTTATTAAAAATAATGGTGTGGTCACAAAGCGTGGGTGTAGTACGGTGGGTCAGGCCGGCTATAAGCATGCTCAGGACGTCCTCTCTGGTGGGTTAGGCCAGGAGTGGGAGTATGATTTCATGATGTTTCTTTGAGAGGTCCTGTTTTGTGTTAACCTTTTATGTTGCGTTTTTTCTTTTTTTCTTATGGTACTTTGGTTGTGTCCTTTTCAAAAATCAAATTGTTTTTGGTTTGGGTGTATTTTGCGACTTCTTTTTTTATAATTTCTTTCTCAGACTTTGTAATAGTCTGCAAAAGAATAAATTATCCTGTTTTAAGCTGGGTTAATCCGGTTTGGGTACCGTTGGTTTTCTTTTCTTAGTCATGCTGTTATACTAAGATTTATGGTGTTCAGTAAGCTGCGTTGGTTAGTTTGGTTTAGTATATAATTCCTATGCAACCGGGTTAAAGAAAAGTTGGAAACTGACTCAGTTGGTTGAGTTGTTATAAGTGAAAACTTGAAACATAAAATCATTATTTTAAACAATTCTTCGTGGGCGAGCTGTGCGAGTTTGGATAGGTTTCTTGTGCGGATGAATGAAAAGATTGAAAAGGTTAGAACTGTATTCTCATTTTTACAAAATAATTGCTTAGAAAGTAATTTTACTGCTTTTGGGGAATTTTAAAATAATAAAATTTTCGTGGTATCTAATTTTACTACTTCTTGGGGAAATAATTCATAGATTAATATACTACATTGGGTTTGAATTTTACTACTTTATTTAGTGCTAAAGATTTAAAAAATTTATTTTAAATTAACAAGTTTTTATTTTTATTTGTCTGTTTCTTTTTTGTATGTGATTTTGGTGTGAAGAGTAAAAGAATAAATTATACATGGTTTTATAACAACGTTTATCTTCAAAAATGTATACTGGTGGAACTTTTTGGTGCAAGTATAAAACCATAAAATGTTTCCTTCATAGTCAAAGAAGTTTGATCTAATTCCGGATAATAAATATCCTGCATAGGGTGTTTTTAGTACTGCTAAAGCGAGTGATTGTAAAATTTGTGTTCGTTCTAATTCGCATAGTTGATGAAGTGTTTCTAATTCAGAAAGTTACATTTCTTGGAAATATCTACCAATTGTGTAGTCTTATTTCATGTCTAAGTGAAGATCATTATGTATGGCGCCAAAGTAGGTGCTATTCATTAGTGATAATTCTTGTAAACTTGTGCTTCTACTGTCGTATGGTTTTAGTTTTCCACCAGGACTACCTGCATTTTTAATGAGGTTACCTGGGACGTATGTTGTGCCTTCGTTAATAGGGTGACTTGTTGCGTAATGGTCAAATTTTATTTTTCCAGTTGTCATGTCGAAACTTTTTTCGTATTCGACAAGTAATTCAGAGTATTGTGTTTTGTAAAGTGGGTTTTTGTATTTACATGCAAATTCTGTTTCGTGATATATTTGAAATCGTGTTAATTTTTTATCGATATTGTCAATATTTTTGAATCTTGTACTTCTTCTGTCGGAGGGGTTTACTTTTTCAGGTGGAATGGATTCAATTAAATATTTTTCATGGAATTTTTTGATGCGAGCGTGTACTTTTGCTACTTGAAATGTTGTACAAGTATCTTCGGGTAACCAAACAATTGTTGCTTGTGTTCTTGTTGTTGGGTCACAAAAGCCTTGATCGTTTTTGCAAGGTAATGTAATTCCTTGATAGATCATGGTGTCACTGTTAAATCTGGTGTGAGTTTTTTTTTCAAGTCGTATTTTCCAATCAAAAAACATTATTTCTTGGTATCCTTTATTTTTTGTATCTGCTTCGCAGTTTGAAGGATTATTTATTCCAATGTGTGGTGTCCAGTATTTATCGTGGACATCATAAGTTAGTCGTGCGTGTGCGCCGTTATAT